ACAAACTTTTGCTATAAAAGACCTAGAATAGAACTATTAGAAATGTTTATACAGATAATATTAGTCAGTGCAGCAATTAGCACACAACGTTATCTTCTGATTTCTGAGGACAATATCGGCATACTTTTTTTTTTTTTTTTAATTATTATTGAATCTTTCCATCCACAAAGCCACTTGAAGAGAAAAAAAATTGTTTTGCGGATATATATTCTTAGTCTTCTTGCCAAAACGCAATAAAAATCCCTTGCTGATATTTCTTTTGTAACTCCTTACGAATCCACGGATTTATGTCTACTAAGTCCAAAATATTGTATAAGCATGTACTAGCCAACGCATGATGGTGGTTCACGAGTACTTTCTGGCCATTATCCAAAACATCGACCTCGAGTTTTGTGACTGTGAACTGTATTACATCCGACAACCTCTTTATTAGATTCAATTCAACTGATTAATGGAGTTACTTAACAACTGAGTTTTTGTGCCTTTTACTTTGATATAGTAGTGTATCTAGTCGTGTTTCATCACACTGAAGAAAAAAGTTGTTTCTACATTAACTAGAGGAATTTTTCTTTTGCACGGTACTGTTCCAACATGACTCACCTTTTATTTAGATATTTTGCAAGTTTTATGATGTAAAGAAACTGTCTCTAGTTATATTCAGCAGTATTTTGTAAGGATCAACTAAACATTTACTACTTCTGCCCAAACCTTCGCACTTGGTCTCATTTTATCTTTCAAATATGAAATCTGTTATAATTTATTTGTCCACATCTACTACTGCCAAAATTTTATCAAATTATCGGCCTTGTTAGGAATATACTACAAAAATGCATCTTGTTTGTAGGGAATACTGTTCATCATCGTCATCTTTTCCATTTGGCTGTAGAAAGCTACAGTTTATATAAAGTATTCTACTTCAGATATTAATGCAAATATTAACCTGCAACGTGAAGCCCTTGTAATTTTATCAAAACAAAAGAAATTTCATAATTTTCCAGAACCTATCTCTACTCTAGTTAAATGAAAAAACTTGGTCCCCAAGTCTTTGGACCACAAACTAAGAGCAAAGTTCAAACAACAAAAATCAGCGTTATACCTCAAAATTTTCACAGGACTATTTAGATGGTTTACAGAACCATCATCTTCAGCTGCAAAACCGCAAATGAACAAGATAGGAAATATTGATAGATAAGATAAGAAATCTGGACAAGAATAAGCAAGTGGCGCCATCTGTTGGCGAAACCAGAACTAAAACATAATTTCTCTAAAAGCCGAAGGCAAATTGGATTGGAATTAGGATCGTTAACTGAACAGAAAGATTTCTATGAATGTGAAATGCCTCTAGAAAATCCAGTTCTCCAATGGAAGATTTTTTTGAAATTTTGGCAGCAAAAAATTGAAAGTGTGATTTTCGGACCACAATGTTGAGCAAGCAGAAGACTTCTGTGTTTCCTTTTTTCTAACATATGCCTCATGTTCTTGACGAAATTTTAAGGCTCTCTTAGTTTGGCCAATGTAAAAACCACACTGGCAAGGAATCCTATAAATACCCCAGGAATTCATATCCGGAATGGGGTCTTGAGTATAGAAGTTGGAATTTTATTGATGGGAGAACAACAACCCGAAAAGTTAAATTTCTGCAAAATATGTGCAACGTTATAGCTAATTGATGGAAAGAAGGGAATGACAACAGAATTTTTATAATCTCCTAAAATAGAGTGTGGCTTTTAGTGTGTTGAGATGAGAATTTTTTAACTGCTTGATTAATAATGTTGGGTTGAAAAGCCCCTGTCAATAGCTCTTGCTTTTAAATAATTAGTTCTTCCTCAAGGGCGATTTGGAGGAGCAAACTTGAAGAGCACGGAAAACATAGGAATAAATGAAGCTAACTTTTGTTTAGTCGGATGACATGATTTAAAGTGTGGTGGGAAGGCAAACCGATGAAGGTTTACGGTAAACTGTAGTACTGAAGTTGGATGTGTTACGTGTGACCAGAATGTCGAGAAAGGAAGAGAATTGCAAGTCTCAAGTTCAAAATGAACTGAATAGCAGGATCAATAGAATTCATTGTTGAAAGAACTTTATTTAAATCATCTTTATTACCTTCAAACAGGTAAAAGTATCGTCTACGTAGCGGAACCATGCCGGAAAGTTTAAAGTTTCAAACAATTTTGATTCATAATTAATGCATGTAGATATCAGCCAGGATGGGGACTGAGGGGGCTTCCCATGGCTATCCCTCCGTTTGGTTGTAATATTTATTTTGGAAAACAAAATGTGTTTGTTTCAAACAGAGTTTGAGAGAGAATTAGCTCCTCAATTTCGATGCAAGAGAAATGAAATTCGCGAAGTCTGGTTCTAGACATCTTAATGCACCCTCCACTGGGACATTGGTGAATAATGATTTACATCAAAAGAAACCATGAGTAAATTAGGAGAGAATGTTTTAACCTTTTTTACAAACTCTATTGATTTGCGAACTTTTACTTGTTTGAAGGTAAAAATGATTAAATAAAGTTCTTTCAACAATGAATTTCTTGATCCTGCGTATTCAGTTCACTTTTTGAACTTGAGCTTGCAATTTCTTCCGTTTCTCGACATTGGTCCGTAACACATCCAACTTCAGTACTACAGTTTACCTAAACCTTCATCCGTTTGCTTCCACCACACTTTAAATCATGTCATCCGACTAAACAAAAGTTAGCTTCATTTTATTCCTATGTTTTCCGTGCTCTTCAAGTGTGCTCCTCCAATTCGCCTTGATGAAGAACTAAATTATTTAAAAGCAAAGCTATTGACAGGGGCTTTTCACCCAACATTATTAATCAAGCAGTTAAAAAATTCTCATCTCAAACACACTAAAAGCCACACTCTTATTTTAGGAGATTATAAAAATTCTGTTGTAATTCCCTTCTTTCCATCAAAGCTATAAAGTTCACATATTTGCAGAAATTTAACTTTCGGGTTGTTATCTCCCATCAATAAATTCCAACTTCTAACTAAGGACCCCATTCCGGATATGAATTCCTGGGGTTTTATAGGATCCCTTGCAGTGTGGTTTAATTTCATTGGCCAAATAAGAGAGCCTTAAAATTTCGCGTCAAAAGAACATGAGCCTTGTTAGAAAAAGGAAACCGAAGTCTTCTGTTCTCAACATTGTGGTCGAAAATCACACTTTCAATTTTTCTGCTGCCAAAATTATTCAAAAACATCTTCCATTGGAGAGAACTGGATTTTTAGAGGCATTTCACATTCATAGAAATCTTTCTGTTCTAGTTAACGATCCTAATTCCAACCAAATTGCCTCGGCTTTTAGAGAAATTATGTTTTAGTTCTGGTTCGCCAACAGATGGCGCCACTTGCTTATTCTTGTCCAGCCTTCTTATCTTATCTAATCATTATTTTAATCTTGTTCATTTTGGGTTTTCAGCTGAAAGATGATGGTTCTTAAAACATCGAAACTAGTCCTGTGAAAATTTTGTAGGTATAACGCTGATTTTGTTGTTTTTGCTTCCGGAATCTAGTTTGTGGTCCAAGACTTGGGGACCAAAGTTTTTTCATGAAACTATGAGTAGAGATAGGTTTCTGGAAATTATGAAATTTCTTTGTTTTGATAATAAATTAACAAGGTCTTCACGTTTGCAGTGTAATATATTTGCACTAATATCTGAAGTATGGAATACTTTTATAGAAAACTGTAAGCTTTGCTACAAGCCAAATGAAAAGATTACGATTGATGAACAGTTATTCCCTACAAAAACAAGATGCCATTTTTTGCAGTATATTCCTAACAAGGCCGATAAATTTGGAATAAAATTTTGGCTAGTAGTAGACGTTAGGACAAAATACTTATTAAACAGATTTCCATATTAAGGAAAAGATTAAATGAGACCAAGTGACGAAGGTTTGGGACAGAACGTAGTAATCGTTTAGTGTCTTACAAAAATACGGCTGAAAATATAACTAGAGACAGTTTCTTTACATCAGTAAAACTTGCAAAATCTCTAAAATAAAAGGATTGAGTCATGTGGAACAGTAAATCGTGCAAAAAAAATTCCCTCTAGTTTAAAAATGTAAGAAAAAACTTTTTTCTTCAGTTGTGATAAACACGACTATATAACACTTACATTATATCAAAGTAAAGGAACAAAACGTAATTTGTTAAGTACACTCCTTCATCAGTTGAATTTGAATCTAAGAGAAGAAGGTTCCGAGTAATCAGTTTCACAATTCTACAAAACTCGAGGTAGATGTTTGGATCAAATGCAAGAAAGTACTGTGAAAGCACCATCATGCCGTTGGTAGACATGCATTCTACAATATTTGGACTTAGCAGACAAAATCCGTGGATTCCTGTATAGGAAGTACAAAAGAAAACTCAGCAGAGGATTTTCGAATTTCATATTCCCTTATGAGCGTCTACTAGTTCCTGCTTTGGCATTCTTAGGTACGGCAGAATTTGAACTCGTAGAAACAAATCCATTTTTACTTTCACTTGAGCTAGAAGATGATATTGCCTGATTACTCTGTGTAATAAATTCAGAATCGCAAGATGTTTCATCTCCATCTTTATCTGTAGAATTACTTTCGATTTCAGAACCGGAATTGGCATCAGATAGTTCTTGCATCAGTTTCACGATTTCTTCATGCATTAGTCCTTTTCAATGCGCCATTAGTACGTCACTGTCATAAATTCGTGTAAATAGATAAAATTTTCCACTAAAACTTGTTATGAATAATACAAAAGATATCTACGAAAAATCTACAAACGTTCAGCTTGTAATAATCTCTTTTCTCTGTTTTCTTTCCACAAAAAAGTATTGCACATACTATTTCCAATCATGTGACAGGCAGATGTGAAACTACGCAGACCCACCGTATTCTTTTCCTTTGTTTGTATTTTGTTTAGCAGGTTCAAATAAAAATAGTTTACAAAAGTAACAGTGTTCAGATAATACAATGGAATGTATTCACATTTCTTTTCTCTCAAAGGGGTCAAAATGACACCTACCGTATTTCTAGGTATAATCATTTGTTAGGGCTAAAATAAAAATACGATTTTCTTGAAATCTTTACTATTTCGTAAATTGCAATGATTTAGGAAAAATTGAGAAAAGATTAAGATATTTGAAAAAAAAAAAAGAAGAGCTGTCAGAGATAAAAGTCTGCTAGGTGTCAAAATGACGCCTTCCGCAATTCTAGTGTTAACTGCCTTTGCTTATTTATTGCTGTGCTTTTTCAAGAGAACTATGGGCAGTCTTGCCAACTATGTGCTTAAAAAATTATTGTGATTATCTCTTTCCAACAAAGTCAATTTACATATATATTTTGACTGTAACAAAGAAAAAAAATTTGGAAAATTTCTGTATCTTTTTTAACCTTTCCGCGACGGCGCACCTTTGTTTAATACTCTCGTTCGGGACAGAAGGGAATTGAAGGCAGTCACCGTACAGGACGGAGGTTTTGCATCACTAAGCCTAATTTTATAAAAAAAAAAAAAAAAAAAAAAAAAAAAAAAAAAAAAAATTTCGCTTCTAGCATCGTAATTTTTGGTATCATTTTACTTTATTTTTTGGTACATTTTGATTATTACTTGAGCTCTTATATATGTTAAAATTACCACTTAATAACGTTTTTTTTTTTTTCTTTACTTTACATGAAAATATACTTAAAAAATTGCTTATCTTGTAAAATAATTTTCGGAAGCGCTGTCCAAATTATGCCAAAGTTTTAATTCATAAAATCCATCAACAATATTTAAAATTAATAAAACAGCCCAACAAGGACTATTTACAGTAAGAAGTAACAAAATTTAAAATGAAGACTGAGTGTGGTAAATCTCGAAGCACGGAGAAGTATCACTTCTAACTCTTAGAAAAAGTATCACTTTCTAACTCTTTAGAAAATGAATCATCACCCTCATGTGCATTAATTAAATGGTTCATTGACCATACGAGGGTATTCTTAGTAAAAAAAAGAATTGGATATAAATCAGACATGCGAATGTTTTCATTAGCATGCAGCGATTTAAAGAGCTCACCTCTGTTCACGCTTTCCCTTCCCCCACCCTCGCAAGAACTGATGAGTAAAATACCAAAGTCAAGCAGAATATATCTAGCTAAAGGTCAGGAACCTAAAACTGTGTTTATTTCAAAAGTAATGGACATAGGATGCTATCTAATGGCCTTCAGAAAAACGTTCCAGCTTAAAATGCGTATACGCATCACCCGTCCTCTGAATGCGACCTCTAGTGATGCGTGGATGGGACGCCCGGCTGTAAGAGACGTTCTTAGGGAATGTGTATATGGGACGCCCGTCCTGAAAGGGTTAACAGTTAAAAAGTTTTGATAGCTTTAGGAATCGAATATAAATTCTGTACCTAAGCCAGAAGCATGTGAACTGAATTTCAGTTTAAAACTAAAGAAAATTTATTCCTAAACTGATACAGGGAAACCTTCGCAAACTTAATTAATTTTTTAATATAATTTGTCATCTCTAAGCAAAACTGTTTTTCCCATAAGAATTAATGTAAAATGAATTAATCCGTTACATGAATCCAAATGATTCTTAATGAACCTTGGTTGAAAAAGAATACTTTATTTACAAGTTCATAATACAAAACCAACAGACACAATATTAGCACTTATACAATATAAACGTATTGCTACGAATATGAAAAATGAGATAATTAAATAATGCCGTATTTGTATGAAGTAAATTTTAAGTGTAAATAAAAACAGTTAAAAAGAGAAAGAGGTTAACCTTTTCCATAAAAGTATATGGAAGCTGCTGTTTTTCTGTGCATGTGTGTGTTTTCTCCTCCTCTTTTCTGTCTTAACACTGCTAATTTTTTATCAAAATTTTGTCCCATGTGATTTGTTTCTGTCTGAGCACATAAAATTTCTGCTTGGAATACAATTTCCTCCAGGCCAGATTCATAGATTTATAAGTCATTTTCCAAGCTTTGTCTATGACAGTTAAGTAATGAAGAATATTAAAATGATGTTTCCTGTGTGTTAATTCTGTGTGAGAGGTTATTTTCAAAGTGCTTTGGTGTAAAATTTCTTGAAATTTAAAATAACCTACTGATCCATGGCATTGTAGTAGAGAAGTCATATTAGGAAACAGGAAATTTGACTGATGAAATTTAATTCTTCTAACTCATGAAGATGGGTAGGTGCAAGGCATTTCAACTGCACATTGTTTCCTTGTAAGCACTTCTTCACACCTCGGACAAACATCATGGGTCCACTTGATAAAAATTTTTTAGTTACAGTTATCATTCCATGTAATGAGAAATGTACTATTTATCATATTATTTTTTAAAATCTCTTGTATTCCTTGAGTGGTTCACAAATAACGACTTGAACTTAAAATCTCTACTTTTGCTCTCGCATAGCAAAAGAGTTAGCATGTCCTTTGTTCACTTGCATCCAGGTAATAGTACATCCTTTTGGGTGAAGTATTTTCTCCTAGGCATTTTTGTTTCCCAGAGTAAACCATTTTCACCACACTTTAGGAAGAAATCTCTGAGCTTTTACATAGACACTGAAACTTTCACAAACCACTCAGCATCTTTTTCGGCTCACACTTATAACTTCTCCTTACCTAACTATAATATATATGCCATTTCTTATATTAAAAATCACAAACCACCTTCTGTTAAGTTTGAAAATACTTCCTCTGAATTCAGAGAAAAATTGACATGAGTCTCTCTTCTTTAAGCAGTAAAAATATTCTCTGCCATAGCATTGAAATGTGTTATTTAAATAAATAAATAAAATTAATTTGAAGCCTATCATATGTTTATTGTGTTTCTCCTGTTTAAAAGGCCTATTTCTAGCCTTTGAAGCAGAATACTTATAAGCCTTCAAGAAGTGTAATACTTGTTTCCTTGAAAATACATGGTTTTTCCATAAAATTAAGATTGATTTGTTGTTGAGTTGTACTTAAATTTTAATCTAATATGCTTTTTTTCCATATAAAGTTATTCGTATGAAAGGAGTTTTCATGGAATGAACTGGCTGCACTTTAAGTTTTTTCTCCCCTTGTTTAATACAAATGTAAACCAGTTTACATTATAAAGAAGCATCTTCCTTTTAAAATATATAGATATAACCAGTTATTACCACTTAAATATAATGTAGTTATTTATGTTGTTCTATGTTACATAATGTTCTCTTTTAGTGGCATTGATATAAACATTTCTATCTAAAGAAAGTATTTTTCTTTATTAGAAGACTGGAAAAAATTATTGCTGATGCACAAGAGTTTGAAACTCAAACAGATGCTGATGATTTATTAAATGCAAACAATAGCATCTTTTTAAATTGTGGTAAGTTTAATTCTTAATTTTGATTTAACATACAATGCTCATTAAGTTTCATTTGGATGAAAATTTCTTTTTCCATTCTATTGACAATTGGTGCAAAATAAATTAATTAATTGTAACAACCTTTTTCTTTAAAATATATATCATGGTAGTTTTAATAAATTCAAAATATGTGAACTATGATTAAATTATTATTATGTCACATTATTAATATTTGGAATACATACTTATATCCAAAATTATCTTTGCATGGGTTACAGTGCTAATTTTCTAAACCTATGAATAAAATTGAACAAATTTATTTAGAGTAATATATAACATCTTAGCACTTAACACTAGATTTAACAGGCATGCCATTTTGACTCATTTCGAGCTTCGTAAGAAAAATTATAGAAACCTCTTATTTTTGTATTCTGCTGCTTGTGTTGACTTTATTCATTCAATGAGATGAGTACATATGAAAATGCATCTTCTTAAAAGCTTTTAATTTTAAAGTTCTTTATGTGATGTACCTATCTCTACCGATATAGGTCAATTTGGCATATTAGGAAAGTAACCAACAATGAGGAAATTCACTATGTTTATGTAATACATATTTGTGTTAGAAGACCTTAATGCAGAAAAGAGATGAGCATCAGAAGAACAAATGAAAGTTAATACATGAATTATTGTTTTAGGCTGTAAAAGACATCTTAAGAGTTTTAGTTCCAGTCTTTGCCTTGAAAAGGAAAATACTCATGCATTTTGCATATCAGTAACATCGTAATATTCAGTTTTACTGTGTTTCAACAAGTAGCCCTGCTTTATTCATCCGAGTATGTCTAGAAAATGTCATATATTGAAAAACTAGTCGGCATAAATGTAAACAATAGCATCTTATAAGTGTGCCATGCTTTGGTATTAGTTGTCAAGAAAATGAAAATGAGAATGAAATTCAGATTCTGAAATTGGAATATTATGTTGTAGAGTTTCACTTGATCTGGTAATGCTAATTAGTCCAAGAAACCTGACAGATGTGAAGAATTATTGCTATGTCTGAAATAATGACAAGTCAAAAAATTGTTAAAATAACCATTTTATTTAAACAGAATTCAGAGCACAAAGGTTGCTACAATATAATCCATAGTTTATGGTATAAGGTATTTTTCCCGCCTTCTTAGCATGCCTTTCTGGTGTAATGGCCAGCACGCTCGGCATGTATTTGAGAAGTTCCGAGTATGGCGAGGGTGCTGCTCTTTTTTCATGTACTCATGTTAAAAAAAAAACCTAATATCTTTGCAGTGGCACCTGAAATAAAAAAGGTGGTTTATGATGATTCTCCACTACCAGGATTTGGCGATTGGGTCCTATAAAAAGGCGAATATATAATATATTTCTTCCATCTTCTTAGCATGCCTTCGTATGTAATGTTCATGTCTCCTGCTTCGAAATAACCTAATGTCCCTACAATGGTGATGCAACTAAATAAAACAATCAAATTTAAATCAAACATTGAACAGTGGTGAAGGGCTACAATTAAATATTGCTAGAAGCTGGCTCATCACTCTACTGGAGCATCAGAATCAAAGTGTCAATAGTAACAGATTGCAAATCCAAAGAATTATAACTGTCAGAGCTAGCAATAAACTAACAACTGTAGCACAAACATAATGAAGAATAAAGATAGCAAAATCAGCTTACCTTTTGTGCACTCAGTAGCAGCAGTTGAGTCTCCGAAACTATTGTTGATGATGAGAGGGATTTATCCATAAATAATACGATGCAGATTTAAACACTAATAACATATTTATTGAACTGCAACTAAAATAATATAAGCGATAGATACATTAAAGTTAACACAAGCACATACAGAAGCTTAATAATAACTAAAGAACAAGAGGATCATGGGATATATTAATATCACGTGATTAACATAGTTTACGTGTTTGACGCCCGTGTGTCTTGGCATTTTTTTAGGGTTGCCAGAAGTAAGTTAGAAAAACATTTTATTTATTTATTCACAAATGCTTGATTAATTTACAACAATCCCCCCTTTAATCATGTATTTGGAAAATATTGGAAATTATATTTAGCTCACTTCTTAATTTCAGAAATTTTGGTTTAGGCAATGGCTTAGTAAAAATATCTGCAATCAAAGAATTTGTATTGCAGTAAGTTATGTCGATTATTTTATTTTCTTCCATTTCCCTTAAAAAGAGATATTTAACATTAATATGCTTTAACTTAGTATTCATTTTTCCCTGTTTTATAAGAGCTATTGTGGACTTATTGTCCTCAAATATCTTAATGGGTAGTTTTTGAGTGATTCCAAAATCTTTAAGGAGATCTAATATCCATTTGAGCTCCTGAACAGCAGTGGCTGCAGAAGTAAGCTTGGATTCGGTAGATGATAGGGAAACACAATTTTGTCTCTTTGTGGACCAAAATATTGGGCTATTTCCTAAGAAAAATAAATTTCCACCTGTTGATCGTCTGGTGGTTAAATCAGATGTATAGTCAGTATCCATATAACAGGAAAGTGTTGGTGTGCTATCAGAGTCAATTTTCAGGCAAATGTCCTTTGTACAGTTCAGGTATTCTATCACTCTTAGAACTGCTTTCCAGTCTTTCTCATTTGGATATTCATTTTTCCTGCTTAATAGATTCACTTCAAGAGTAATGTCCAAACTAGTTACAGTGGCTATGTATAATAAGGCTCCAATAGCTTGCCTGTACTTCGTATTGTCCACTGATGGAGAGATGTCCTCTTCCTTTCGATAAGAAGTATCCATTGATGTGTAAGATGGTTTGTGGATACCTGGACAAAATATCTTCTTCAGGTTTTCTATTTTTGATTTTTGACTCAACAGGAAGTTGTTTTCATCTCTTTTGATGTTGATTCCTAAGTAATTTCTGATTTCTCCTAAATCTTTTTCTTCGAAGAATTCATTGAAAGATTTGATTAACCTTTTAATTTTTCTTTCACTTTTGCATGCTATAAGGATATCATCGACGTAGACAATAATCATTATCGTGACATTTCTATCTTTCTTTAGAAATAAGCATGGGTCTGCCATGCTTTGCAAAAAGTTACTATTCTTTAATACTTCTTCAACTTTTGTATTCCATGCTCTAGCAGCTTGCTTTAATCCATAAATAGCTTTTTTCAGTCTCCAAACCTTCTCTTCTTGTCCGGATTAAACCGTGCCTTCAGGCTGTTCCTTGTAAATTTCCGTGCAGAAATGCTGTAGTAACGTCTACATGCCTCACATGCATTTTACCATATGCTGCGACAGCAAGAAAAGTTCTTATAGTTGTATGTCGAACTACTGGGCAAAGGTATGATCATAATCAGTTCCAAATTTTTGACTACAGTCAAAAATCCGGACATGCCGGGACTTCGGCGATTCCGGATTATCGATTTTTCCGGATTATAGATCATCAGTTTAAATCTGGTAAGATGGCATGCAGAAATTATAAAATTAAAAATATGAAATCGTAATTTATAAAATAATGAGCAATTATGATCTAAAGGGTATCAAAATTTACAAAAAGAGAAGCTTAATATTTATTTGTTTACTTTATTAAACATTTCTTTCAACACGCGCATGCGTAAAGCATACCTTACGCATAGCCGAAATTAGAAAATTGCAACCAGAAAACTATTTGATTTGTATTCGTGATATTTATAATGACGAGGAATTTGATTTAAATCATATCAAAGACGGAGTACATCGAGATTAAATACTACTTTTAGTAAGAAATTATAAGCCAAATAAAATTAAAAACATCTGCCCTGAAGATAATGATAGTGCTGACAGATCAACTTCCAGTTCATTGCGCGCCGCGACATCCCCCCCTCGTACAGAGCAGCGTGAAATTGATAAACAGATTTCGGAACGGTTAGATAAACAAAGGATATACCTTTATCCATTTTTTGTAGCAATTCGTTTTTTGTTTGATGGACATCAAAACATACTTTCGTTTTCTAGATCCTTTGAGAGCTCTAGCATTGGAAATTCTATTTGACATAATCGAAAGTTCAAGCTTACTTTTATAAAATTGCTCTTACAGTCTGCAAAAAATAATAAGCCTGATCCAATTCGAAGATTAAGGAACAACGCAATCATCAACATTAACTGAAATAGATAATTAGATAATTTTAGCTTATACCGTCCGTTATACATTAAACGCGCACGCAAAAACGTATTCTGCGCTTGCGCAGACGCATATGCGCAGTCGTAAATGTCTTGCGTGCACGCGTAAAACGCCTATGAGCATGTGTCAACACGGCGCACGCGCAGAAAGATTTTAGCTTTGAGGTCTGGATTATAGATCATTCCGGATTATGGGTGTCCGAATTAACGACTTTTGACTGTATAACTTTTAGCAACTAGTCGCGTCTTGTAACGAATGATAGTTCCATCTTCGTTTTCTTTCAGATTGAAAATCCATCGACAGCCAATAGGTTTCCTTCCTACAGGAAGATCAACCAGTTCAAAAGTTTTATTTCGAGATAAGGAATTGATTTCTTGCGAGTAACCACTTTTTCTTTTCTTCGGAATTCAATTTATCTAAGTCTTGAATCTTATCTATTCTCAGGAATGGTTTGATTGTGCTTGTTAAGAATTCTAGACGTTCTGGTGGTATTCCCTTCGTTTTCCTTTCTGATCGTCTTGGCTCTTCTTTGGATATAATTTTGTGTTTTTCTTCAGTTTCTTCATCATTTTCAACATCTTCAACTTTTGAATGAAAAGAAATTTCAACATTTCGCTGATAATTCTTCGACAAATTTTACTCTCTTCTACTGATAATTATACGGTTTTCACCTGTGTAGATTCTGTACCCCTTTGATCGCTGATCGTAACTGACAAAAATTCCTTCAATTGCTTTCTGGTCTAATTTTCTACAGTTTTCCTTATGTACATATGCATAAGCTGTGCAACCAAATTGTTTCATATGAGCTAAATTAGGTTTTCTTCCACTCCATAATTCATAGAGAGTCTTATTGCTAGCTCTGGTTG